CCTGACCGTGCCCTACTATGCTAGACCATGCTCGACTAGGCTAGACTATGACAGACTATGCAATACTGTGCTATACTATGCTGTACTGTGCTTTGCCATTCTATACTATCTTAGGCTTTTCTACACTGCATCATACCATGCTGTCTTCTGCCATACTATACTGTTAAACTTTACTATACTATTTTATGCCATAGTATACTAGATTGGCACTATTCTATACTATGCTGCACTATACCAGACCATAGTATGCAATACTAGTACTTTCAACTACGGGCCTTGACCCTGGAATCTGTGATCCCGCGAGGTCCTTGAGGCCCTGCGGGTGGCAATTTATCCGGTCATTCGCCCCAGCTTGTTCCGTTGATGGGGGCGGGCGGGCAGTCTGGTGTTTGGGAGTCCCAGATTTTAGACTGGCTGCTGGGCACACGGCCCTTGCTCGTCATCGAATGCAGGTTCCTTGCAAAATGGCATGATGTAGGTGAGTTCGACTCCTTCGGGGTGAGATGGCCATAGCTGGACTTCAACCTGGATACAGGGATGCTGTACTTTTTCTCTGTGTACGGCCCATCCAATTTATCGGCAGCGACGCTCGATCCAGGCCTGTATGTGCCTTCACGAGACCTAAGCAAAAAAACAGTGTGTGATGCTGCAAACTTGCCTATAGAACACCTCGGAGGACAAGAGACTACAGAACCATGTGCGCGCGAGTCATCGCGAGTCTGTGTCTCTATGTGTGGTCTGTTTGTTTGTCTGTATGTTTGTNNTATGTGTGTACGTATGCATGCATGGGCTGGTCTGGTGTGATTCTGGTGTGGCCACAGTGTGGTGTGATGTGGTATGGAGTGGCATGGTCTTGTAAGGTATGGTATGGTCAGCTAGGGGTGGGAAGAGAGGCTGCTGCCTTATGCCACAACCTTGTTCCAGCGACGGCGATGGTAATGATGTTGATGCTCACCATGCTGCATGATGCGGATTCCCACATAGTGTGTGTAAATATCTACTGTAGTGGTAATGTAACGTATACTACATGTACTAGCTATGGCAAGAATGTTTTGGCCACTTTCCTGGCCAAGGCGCGGCTTGAAGTGAGCTGGGCGCTCTTCGACGCGCCCGGGCAGCAAGACCGGCCCGAGCGCCGCGAAGAACCTAAAGCCCCGTAGCCACTCTGCTGACATCAAGGTGAAGAGAGCACCGGACAGCAAACCCCGAGAGATAGCTTAGGGAAAGGGAGAAATGGCAGAAAGAGGCTGATGAAGAAGCAGAAGAGGACCGGTTGGCAGTCCCGTTGAGCAAGGGGCTGCCGCGGCTTAGAGTTCATAGGCTCGAAGGCTTCCGAATGGCATATGAAGGTTTCAGAGCTTGGTCTACTAGTGGCAAATGGGAACGCAGGTAGTACAGGTAGTGCAAGAAGAAGCGGAGAATGCAGTCTTAAATGTTCCTTTTGAAAATCATCTCGTGCCATTTTCGACACCCGGAATCGCTTGGTCTCCAAGTTCTTGCGAGGGACTCTCGGAGTACTGCGCTGTTTGTTTGCCACAGGCGCGAGTCGATGGAGAAGCCGAGGTGCCGCGGTTGGTAGTAAGCTTCGTGAATCTTGGATCAGGGCCTTCCGGGCTTAGGGCATCGTGCTAGTCGTTGAGAAAACCTTGCTTAGGGGCACATCGAGGCGAGCTGCAACACGCTGGTTGCACAACAGTCGGTCAGAACAGCGTAGGGTCAAGTGCAAGGTTTCGGGTTCGAGATTCGAGCATTGCTCCGATAAGGAGCGAAAGTGTCGCTGCGGGCCGCACTGCAAGCCTGCCGTGTTGGCAACAAGCCAGCAACAGCTTCATATAAAGTTCCGCGAATATGGGAAACCCTCTAAGCACAAGGAGCCCGATAACATTAAGAAGGCAAGCGACAAGGGCGACAATAATCATAGTAAGCATCATCTGCGGTTGCAGAACCATCCGTTGCTCTTTGTATGCACATGCCTGCGGTGAACTGATATGCATGCCAGGCCGTAGCGAGAGGGCAAGCATCGCTGTGGGCACCTCAGTGTGTTCCAGTTTGGTCGAGTTTTGGGTGGGTGGGGGGGGGGGGGGGGNNGGGTTACTTAAGCTGCAGATACAACTGTCTTTGAGTTGGACAGGGCCACCTTGTTTTTGAGCCCCCATGATTGGCATCTGGAGCTTCAGGTCCCGACATGAGAGCAGGTTCCCGAAGGGAAGCCGGAGAACATGCTCGGGCTCAGCTACAGCCCTCACCACAGACAACTCTTCTGTAACTCCGGATCCTCTGCCACGGGGAGGATGAGCTATGCACCACTTTGCGTTGTAGATGGGTCCTGCCTGGAAACCAACATAAAATAAAAAGAACAACCTGGTCTCTGCATGAAAAATCCTGTTGAATTCCTGACTGTTTGTCCTTTCTTCTGAACGCCCCTAAGAACAACCCGAAGAGAAACAGTTTAGTCTGCGATCAGAGATACCTCCTTTGTTGCGAGTTTTCATGCATCCATCTATGTACTCCTCTATCCGTCTGTTCACCTCTAAGTGTGTAGCTATATGTGTGTCAATCCTACATCTTGAGCCCTTCTAAGCTCTTGAACAGCCACATTCGCCTGGCCGAGGGCTTGCTACAGTGCCAGCGAGGCAGAATCGTTGGTCGTCGTGGCCTCGATCCTGCCATCCGGCACCCTCTAGATCGTCTAGCATGTCAAAGGCTTCTGGTTGTATGCCTGTGTATGTATGTTCATGTGTTGGGCTACTTCGAAACAAAACTTTAAACCTGTTGGATTCAGCGTCCACAAAGGCTTGAAGAATTCGGGGCGGATGCAGGACTCAATGGGCTACACGCGAAAAGGGGGCCTATCCCAATACGTAAACTCAACTGAGCGAATGGATCCTGAATCCTGACGGTATGCTTGTAACAGTCATGGAGACACAGGCACACATGTGGCGTGACACCATACACATTCGTATCGCATGATGCAGCGAAGCGACTGTCGGCCTGCCTGTGGGGGCAAGCTTGGGTCAAAGCTATCCTTGCTTGTGCTGGGAAGCTCAACGTAAGGCAGAGTGAAGTCGCTCTACGTTTGGGAGCTCACTATACCTTCTCTTGTCTGGTTGGAGCGTTCAACACTTCTAAACTTCCAGCCCCTCCCCGAACCCGTTGAAAAGTCCTCAGCAAAAATCGACAACATGAAACCCAATGCCCCACCGTAAACCCGAAGCCCTAACTCCCCATCCCTAAGCTTTTCGTGCTGAGGGCAGGCTGTCCAGCAGCTTCGAAGCAGATGTCGATGCCCACAGGCCGGGGTCTTTAGGGTTACGGGTTAACCGCGGGCTCGGACCCGCGTTGCCATGTTTTTAAATGGGTGGGGTCCTAGGCCCACTCGACATTCATACTGTGAGACTTCACTATCCCACAATGTCTGAGGCGCACAGGTGCCAGGAGTTGCAGGGCTGAGTAGCTGGATCCCAGTGCGCAAGGCTGTTGGACACCTCGACACTCCCGGCACCGATCACAATGAGGACATTCGCCAGACCACGTAGGTGTTTAGGTCGTGACATCTTGCAGCAGATAAAATGGTGCTTGGCCGTGGTGCTTCAGTTGCACTTTGACACATCAGATCTCCGGATTCTGCTCTTCCGTATTTTCGACTTGAGTCTTGAGCTCGGCGGAGAATCACGGGCCGGAGCTAGCAAGGTTTGCTTCCACTCGAAGAGCTTCTGGATTCTCATAGGCGCTTGTAGGATTTGCAGGCAAGTTCTTGGAGATTCAGTGAGTTAAGCCTCCTTATGCTTGAGCTGTTTGTGTGGCAAGTCGCAACTAGACTTGCAGAGCATTGAGAGCCGGGTCTGCAAAGCTGAGTGCTTTGCAGGAGTGCTTCGGACACCATGCAAGACAAAGGCTGGCAGACGATCAGGAAACAGAGGGAGTGTTTTCACATGCCGCCTTCCCGTCAGCGGCGAGTGCATGACTCGAACTGTCTCCAGCAAAGAACTGTCTCCGGCAAGCGCATTGCTTCTGACGGCCAGATCAACCGCGCTCACCCTCGCCGTCCCCAGCGCCTGGACGGGGGCGGCCAGCATCTGCAGAGGGCATCGGCGAGGTGCTGGGTTCCACTCTGAAGTCCAAGTGCCAGTCGCTTGAGGACCCGTAGCCTCAGCACAGCATTCTCTCATGCCTGCAAGCGTGCTCGCCGTGCCCTTCTGTGCACCGGAAATCTGCACAGACTCGCCGGCCGTGGTTGCGCTGCGCCTGTCTTCCGTGTCTGCCTCGGTCAGGAAGGAGTTTTGCGGTGGCTGTTCTCTACATGCTTCGGAGTTCAGTTGTCTGTAGGTTCGACATAAAGTAGCTGCTTGACTAAGTAGCCTGCGACTTCGAGCTGTGATTGAGCCGGCTATGATGTCAGCACTATACAGTTCCCGAACGGCGTTACGAGCAGTTTGAGCTTCCCGAGTCTTCTAGCAAGCTTCTGAGCCTGAAATGAGCGGCAGTTGTAACGTCAGAAGCGTAGTCGTAACAAGTGTTCTCAAGGCATCTCTGCAGTGGGAGTTTAATGAGTTTGGACCTCGTGCCTGGGCCTTGATCTTCCTGGGCTCGAGGCCTTCGGCCAGATCGGTGTCAATCAGTGCTGGAGCGGAGAGGAGAGGAGGGGAAGTGGCTAAGACGAAGTGCATACAGATGCATGACTTATCCATATCAGTGTGTCTGTGTTTTTGTTGTCATCACCATTCTCGACAGCATCGCCACCACCACCCTCAATCACCGGCTTTGTGAACGTCATCAGCAACGACAAGTGGACATGTGCAAATAAGCGATTTGAGGGCATATCTAAACTGCCCACATACACAGTTGTAACTATATGTATATCTTTATACATACATATAGATGTATACCGGTAGCCTCAAGATCAATAATTAGTACGGATCTCAGAATGATTTTCGTCACAAGTCGCAGACCAGCCGAGCCCAAGCCTCCAGCAGCTTTTCCGTGGAGGGTCTTGCAAGGCCATGTCATCCGAACTAGCAGCTTGGACAGATTTCACAGGCGACGCGGGGTAGTCGACTTCGGGATTGAGGAGTCTCTATAAGTATTGGTTGAGTGAAGGTTGTGTTTTTGTTATTTGCTGCTTCTGCGTTCATAACACAGCCTGTTCTTGTTGGAAACACCATGTTCGACGCTGAGGTGACCATTGTGGGATTTGGCTCTTTGCTGAGCAAGCGGAGTGCGCTGCTCACTACCCCAAGCATTCAGGTTGGGGCGTCTATAGAGTCTCTACCAGTTGCAACTTCATGCGTGCAGTTGCGAAAGTTATGCTCCTTGCCGCCGATTCCCCCGACGTACAAAAAGATTGGTTTGGGAAGAAGACTAGAGTCTCCATGTCGATACTGCTGGCAGGAAGGATTCAGGATTTTGTCTCAAGCCCTCCTTGACAGGGCTACCAGTACGTGCGGGTCAAGGGATACCAGCGGCAGTTTGCACACCCGGCGCCCATCTTCTTCGAGCGAAACCTGGTAGCACAGAATGGCGAGTCGGGAATCTGCTGAAATCCCTAGGTCATCACGGGAGAATCCATCCAAGCAAAGAAACTCCGGAGAGCCCAGGAGGGGAGTACCCCGGGATCGCTAAGCCGGAGACGAAGGCCATGCACCAGGGGCCATGGAAGATGGGCTCCTAAGATGTGCCGTACTTACGGAGCTTGCTTTCAACTTCTGGTGGGATTCCTGAAGATGGGTGGGTTCCTCTTCGTGTCGTGGCTACTAGAGTGCCTGAGAGACAGGTATCATATGCCTGCACGCAACACTGCAAGATTTTCCGGTGACTTGCTGCAAACGTGGACGGGAAGGAAATCGCCTCCTTGTCTACGACGCCGAATCCGGAGAGCTCATTCGTCGCTTGCGCATACCAGACCCTTGGGCGCTTCGCTTCGAGGTAGTTTTGAGATGTTTTGAGGGTGGCGGTGGTGCAGGCGGGAAATGAGGAACCCAAGTTGATATCAGCTGAAGAGAGTCTTTATTGGGCATCGTGGGCTCTTGTTGTCATGAGCCTGCTCGAGGCAGTGGGTTTAATGATTTTTATGCACTAGGTGGGGGCGAAGTGGCGGCCAAGGATTCCCAAGGATGAGTGGGAGCCTCTGGCAAAGCGCGAGGAGGAATTCGAGCTGGGCGCTGAGATGTAGGAAGGCTGCCGCAGAACGCCAAGGCTTAGGACTTAGGACTGGAATTTCTTGCTTGAACTTGCCGGTAATATGTTGAAAGGGAACCATAGGGCCGTCCTGTAGGGCTGGCGACCGCGAAAACTGCAGTTCCGAAGCTTACATCCGAGTGAAGGTTCATTGAGGCTGCCTTCGAACCGTTGGAGGATGGAGCGCCGAGCCTGGGATCGTGACATGGCGAGAAAGCACTGCGGTGTCAGGTTTTCTGGGGAGGGATTTCATTGCTTGCTGTCTTCGCCCTGGAGGGTGCAGCGCATTTTTTCTTGCCCTGAGCTATCGAGGTGTTTCTCAGACGAAGGCTCCAGGTCGGTTTCACGTCCCTGCCCTTGAGGCTCCTCGATGTATGTGCCAGACTTATTAAGCGAAGCAACCGCACTGAGGAACGTGGGCCTCATGTGCACGCGATCGACTGACGAGAAACTGCAGCAAGCGTCGATTTGGGAGCGCTATGCACCTTGGCAGTATTCGCAACGCAGCAAGAGCTTCAATGGCCGTACATCATGTCTGGTTGCAGTTGTCCACAGCTCCAGATGAGCCTGCCTGAACCATTCGTTTTAGTGCACCGTGCTCAAATAATTCCTTATCGTCACTTTCATTAGCTCGTCTTGTCGCTTTTCTTGTGAAGCCCGCCCGAAGAAATGTTCAAGATGCATGTCCGTATATACATCTGTGCAAGCAAGACATCGGCATACACGGTTACTAAGGCTTGTGTCACACCATAGGGGCCGCTTCAGGTAGCCAAACGAAGCGACCCAAGACGAAAACGGAATAACGCCTTCATCTCAAACGGGCAGGAGAAGTCGCTCAAGCCTGCCTACGGTGAAGTCAAAGTCGCTTTGCTGCAAGCTTGCATGTGCTTGAGGCTTCGCGTGGGAGGGGGGCGAGGGGGGGAGAATCAAGGCTTCTAGGGCGATGCTTCATCAGATATGCTGCATCAACTCAGGAACTGTTTTATGTAGTTATGGCTCTATGCCTAGAATCCTAGAACTGTTGATTACAGCTCATGTCCTGTCCAGGACTCCATGTTTTTGTATGTTTTTGTGGTGGCATTACCGAGTCGTGCGGGAGGCCAATCGCCAAAGGACTTTCGGAGTTATCGAACCGGTCGCATGGATGAGTCACAGTGAACACTGAAAACCTTGTCATGTAATGCTTTGCATAGAAAACAAGATTTCAGTTGCGAATCTTCGGAACCTATGGTGTCGTTTGGCAACCTCGATTACACTGACGATGCTATGGATCTGAACCTTCTTCGTCTGTATGCCGCGCAACCAAGCCTAAGCCGCTAAAGCCTAAACCCCCTTTCCCCCCCATCCCAATGAAACCACAGAACACTCGTTCAAACCAATGAGAACCTACCAATCTCCCACCTCTGAGGTCTGGAGCTGGGGACCCGACTCAGGGATCCGGCCCTGCCCCGTGTGCCCCGGTCTTTTCTGTATGCTCTCTCTCTCTCTCTCTCTCTCTCTCCCCCTGCCTCCCGCTCCCTCTTTCCCGATAGATGTTATGTACATCCTGTGCATAAAACTTTATGTGTAAACATATGTATATAATGAATATGTGTATATATAGATACACACATGCAAAGGGGCACCCTATACATCTTTATCAGTGCATGCAATTACACCCACATGCATGTGTGTCTGCATGAATGCGTGGATGTATGTATGTATGTATGTATGTATGTATGTATGTATGTATGTATGTATGTATGTATGTATGTATTGTAGTGTATTGTCTTGTTTTGTATTGTATGTATGTATGTGTGTGTGTGTGTGTATGCATGCATACATGCATACGGATGGATGGATGGATGGATGGATGGATGGATGGATGGATGGATGGATGGATGGATGGATGTATGTGCTTGTCGATGCCTGTGTTGTAGATTCCCGAACCACAAGAATGGGCATACTCATCACAGAAACCGGCGTTGCTAGGCCTTGTTCAATGATTAGGGTATGCTTGTGTCCCGATGCTGGCTGACGATGCCTCCTTTACAAGACCGCAGAGTCACAGGTTCGGTAATTCTGCCAGATTGTCTTGACTATTCACAAGTCCTCAAACACATGCGGGTCATCAATCGTAGTTACGAGGCCTAGGCTCGAAGGCCGGGCTCGTTTTGGTGCAGCCAAGGTATTGCAGACACTGCGTCCTTGCCACGCAAAAAGAAGGTGCCACGGCACGATGGTTGTCAGACCCGCTAGAAAGAGTAATTACGCTCAATGCTGGCGGCTTGTTCTCCATAATATCGTGCAACAGCCAGACGTTTGAACTGGCAGGCGTGCCAGACTACGTCGCCAAGAGCTTTCTGGATGAAACCTTTCTTGTGGATGGGTGCCATGGCAGCGACCGGAACACCGATTCACCACCGGTAAGGGCAACATCTCGGCCTGGGAGAGGTTGTTTGGTATTTCTTTTGCTCGCAGCTTCTGCCTGTCTGACCCTGTTTGGGGGCCTTGTTCAAAACAGCCCAATACAAGGAAGGATGGTGGAGGCCAATGTATGCCTATGTCTAGTGTGTTACTTATTCAGTGGTGCCTACTTGGCTAACCGACTGCCCCGATCGGAACTGAGACGTAGGCTTTCTACAGCTTGTAACACACGCCAAGAACCAAAGGCATTGCAGGACTTCCATCATCACCTCAGGCAGCACATCGCTGAGTTTGCATGTGCAGACACCTGCTGGGCCCAGGAAGACCACTCTTCGAAGCTACCTCGCAGAGAACCCGCATGTGATGGAAAGTGAGCCTCCCGAGGAGCTACTCGCTTGCAGCTCCAGGGATGACATACACAGGGGCATCTTACTGGGCAGGCAAGCGACATTTTGCGAAGAAGTCGGAAGGGAAACGAGAGACAAAGGCTGCATGGTTGAAGCAATCGATGAATTGGGTTTTTGTGTGATGCAGCAGGTCTCTATGACACGAGGTGCCTACACATTGTTTGGGTCATGGAAGCAGTTCGTCCGCTCATGTGCCGAATCAAAAGCAGTCCATAGGCGAGACAAAGGCTGTCATACGTCCAATAGATGCCAAGGCAGTGAAGACCGATGCTGTTTCAACGGCATTTAGAAGTGTCATCGTTTTGGTATAATTTGCAACGGTGCTTTGTTGCTTGATGTTTGCTTGTCTTGACACTATCACTGTTGCTTGTGGCAGAGAGAGTATTTCCTTAAAGGCCGATGCGGCTGCATGAACGCCCGTTTCGAAACAAAAACATGTCTTTGCAAGGTTTCGGGAGCGCTACAGCGGCTGAGTTGCCGTGCACAAACCCCCCGAGCGACGGGTCAAAAGGTCTTCAGCAGCACAGCCATCAGAATCATGATCATCATCAGAATCATCAGGAAGAGCGACGGCTCGAAGAAGCGAGTTAGTAAGATGGTTCTCTTGCGCCTTTGCCGAGTTTGGCCCTGTCGGCTACATCTTCCCCCCGTGCATGACAGGTTCATAGGTGGCAGGAGCGGAAGCATGAGGGACAAGAGCAGGTGCGAGCAGGTAGATAGAGAATGATAGAGAGAAGGCTCAGAATGGATTAACAAAGCTGCAGATGCGGCGAAAACCAACGCAAATGCTGTGCCATCATGCCAAGTAGTGCAATCCGGGCGAGCTGGGTTCTCAAGACGATATCTTTCCGAGCTCAGGCTGAAATCCGACAGCGGATAGCACCCATTCGTACTGTGGTATGTTAAGACAGGGCTAGTGTGTAACAGGCAGTGCAGTGAAGGTGCTTTGTGCATGGACCCGAACTCTGAACTCTAGTCTTCGATAGTTTGAACTTGCAGCCTTTCAGATCTGAACTGCCGCCTCGAGAAGCTGGCGGCCTCTGCAGGTTTCGCTTTGAAGTTGAAACTGGGCTTCCAGCAAGGTCGTGTGTTCACTGGTTCTTGAAGCTTTATGTTGCCTTAGCACCGACATCTTTTGGAGATTAGGAGGGGTGAGACTTTGGACTCACAGCTGGACACTAAGTCGACCGAGCTTCCTCAGGGATCTAACGATAGTTGTTTAAGTTCCCAGAAACGCCATGGCGCTTCGGTTGAGCAGTTTCCGGTCTGCAGCACGAAGGCTGAGGTGCGCGGCTATGGGAAAGTTGGCCACGACTGCCTTGTTCTTCATTTGCCTCGCACTTCTGCTCTTACGGTAGACCCCGAGGGTCCAAGTAATAGTATAGTATATACCTTTGAAGCCCAAATACCTGCAAAGTACATGGACCCTCTGGGAGAGTGACCTTCAGAGGGCGCTTGCACCACGAAGTGCTGACTCCAGGAGTCTGCATTTCGTACCTGGCGGCTCCCAAAAGTTCCTTGAGAACCTTGGCAGCTTCATCCTTGAACTCATCTCTTTGGACCGGGCCTTCAGGGCTCAGGGGAAAAGGGCTTTATGACAGTGTCTCATTTCTCGGTGATGGGACTTATAGATTCCTCTGCGATGCGGATATCATCGAATAGTTACGATTGAGCAGGGCGCTGCAAGTCGACAGATAAGTCGTCCAGCCTGGCTTTGCTCAATGCTTCGTTACAGCCCGCTACTGTGACAAGCTCCTTCGAAAACTTTGATGAGGAAAGCGCTCGCCTCCAGAGCAGATGCCTTGATCATCGATCTCGAGGCCGGACACCGTCTGATCATTAAGAGTTCTGATTCGTCTTGCCGCTCCTGCAAGCTTGCAGACCCTTTCAGGGGCTGTCAAAGTCGTTCACGTTCCCCAATGTGTCCAACACCCTACCTCACAATTCAGATGCAGACCTCTGGTACTTGCCAAGACCTTTCAGTGCTGTGTCTGCTAGAAACCCAAGTGCTATAAGTCTAAAGTGGAACCCCCATGCCATTATACCAGGCCATTTGCGAGGTAGTGACGCGCATGCTCGCAGGAGTAAGCACAACCACGGCCCGAACACAACACCAGCACCCACGGGACCAGTTGGGCAGGCAGATTCGACTATCATGGGCAATTGCTTCTAGTCCAGGATGCTTGTATGGGGGCCTTGATAATTAGAATAAGGTACATGGAAGTAGTTTATACTATAATTACAATAGAGAGCCCCCATAACCTTACTCTAATTATTACGGCCCCTATATGAGCTTTCGATGTCGACTCGGGAGCGAAGTTTTTAGCTATGAAGCCGAAAACACCAGACTTGTGGCCGTATGCAGGACTCTGTCCTCCCTGCAGAGAAAGCTTCGGCGAGGCAGGGGGCTACAATTCGGGCCTCGAGACGTGGGATGTTTGCTTCGGAAGGCTGCGTTTCCAGCGGTGGGTGGGCTTCAGCTTGTTAGCCCGAGATTTCTACAGATGCGTACTTCGAAGACTCCTGTAACCATAATGGGAAAGATGCAAGTTGATGCACCCAGTTTCCAGCTACTGCCTGGCAGCGCGAGCAGTCACGCAGAAGTACAGGACGTTTAGGGTCCTAGAGCCCAGAGATGCCCAGAGTATTCAGCAGCATGCCCTGTGAGGGAAGAAGTCAGCAAGTGGATGACATCCACAGACTGGGGCAGCAAGACAGTCTGCGTGCGAATCAACCCGATGGATACACCACTTTGGGAAGCCGACGTCAGTTCCACTCTGAAGAAGGAGACTTGGCAGCGGGTTCGTTTTTCGACATAGTCCGGAGAGGCAAGGCAACTGCCATGAGACGCTTCTGCAGAAACACGTTTCGAAGACTAAGCAATTAAAAATCAATAAGAATACAATAATAGTAGAAGCCGAGAAGTGACGGGCGGTGTAAACAAGGTTCGACTGGTAACACGAGGGCCTGATTGATGGCGCCGACTGTTTGGGACTCGTCTGGTAGGGCCAAAGATCACCTGGAACTTCATGCCGCCCTGGTAAAGAGCGACACAGAGACGCAGCATTGTGAGATCCGAGGAGAAGCCGCATATGCTCGTTGTGCCCAAAGTCTCGAGCCCCGCGGACCTAGACAAGCTGGGTACCAAGTTGGCCGAGCCTTGGTTTTTTTGCAAGTGTCGACCCTTTGAATGTCGAAGGTAGGGCATTCAAGTGCTTACAGTTTCACCCTCGTGGGCTTTTTGGTGAGTTCTCGTGCATGTAGAGAGAGACACATGTCCACATGCGTGGAGTGCGTGTCGTGGGGGAGGTATATGCGCTAAACAGTTACTGATCAGTTCATGTAGGAGCAGAAGCCTTACAAAAGGCTTGCAGCACCAAGGAGTTGGAAAAGCAGTTGGGCCGAGAGGTGCCAGTCCGCAGTCATCGGCAGGGCAAAAGTGGTCTTTTGGTAAGTTGAAGTTGAGGGGTGAAGGGTATTCTTCTTTGGTCCCTGCAGCAGTCGGAAGCTTTCTCACTGGATCCCTCGATGCTGAGAGCTCTCCAGACCGGCTTCAGAGACTTTAGGGGAAGCTGTACACGTTATAGAAGAGCGGAAGTCCAGATGCTGGGAAAGATGTTGGAGGTTCTGGAAGTCTCACGTTACATTCCTCACCCCATGATAGCTGCCAATGTGGGCCACGTGGGGGTTTTGATCAGAGTTCACTGGGAGAAAGATGTTTTTAGTGTGGCTGTACGTGTGTCATTGTTGCATTCGGTCATGGAAGCAGAAAGAATACCATATCATTGCATCTGCACCTTCTCATTGACATAGTATAGATGAGCAATCAACGGTAAGAGGTAGGAGGCGTGTGCGACCTTGCACAGAATTCTTTTGTGGCTGGCCCTTGAAGCGCCCTTGTCATGTGGTCGCACTTCGTGCCGAAGCGCCTCCGAAATGAATTTTTACTCGAGACTCTGACTATAAGACTCAACCATAAAACCCGAGGTTCCCAGGCCTCGTCGAGTCAGAGTCGTGACACATCTGTTTTGAGGTCGGGGGCACGACTGTCCTCCCCATTGTCAGCGAAGTTCCTGAGGCTCGCTCTGGACTGTGTGTATCATGTACACAGTGTACACAGAGAGATGGACAGATAGCTGCGTGCCAATACTGCGCATGCCCACTGCATAAAGGGCAGGTAACCAAGGTTGGTTGTTGGATACGATCGTGGAAACAGGTATGTTAAAACAGGGGGCGCTACATAGGTATGTATGACAGACCGTGCGCAGTGCGGACTGTTATAAAAGGGTTCTGGCACTCTGATGCATCTCGAAATGGGCCAAACCTGTATAACTGACCATCGTTCTCAGCGACTTGTGCATATCCCGGATCGTCACTTCGCGGTTTCTGTTTCTGCCAGGCGCCGCTGAGAGCCCACGAGATCGCCCGGCACCCGAGGGTCGAAGCCGTCACTTGGGGCGCCGAGGACCTTACTGTAGCGGAGGAAACTCCGAAAGCTTGCTTACCTTGATGAATTAAGTTAGTCAGCAGAAAGCTCATAACCCGGTCAGCCATTAAGGCTTCAGGGCACCAGCCTCTCAAGCTGAATCGTGAGCCAGTGTCCCGACGAACATTCGGCGAGCCATCGCAAGCTTTCCTGAAACAGTCGGAACTGCAGAGGGACCACAAACACCAAAGCCACCAAAGAATCAAGCCCCGACAAGGACCTGTCTGCTGAACTCGGCGCCAAGAAGCGCCGGGATGGCTCGGGACAGTACCTGGCTGCCTGGCAAGATGATTAGAATATACCCGCATTCATAACTACCGATACTATTTTGTGGGTTCCTTATTCTGAGTATAGTATATTGGGCCCCAAAAACCGTTTTCCAAATTATGACGGCCCCTATATTAGGTTCAAGACTTGTATCTTTCAACACCCCCGAGCCCGTGTCCCTGGGCCGAGGAAGTCTTTCAGCTGTGCCGAAGCCTCACCCTCTTGGCTGCCAAAGGTGCCAAGGTTCAGGCTGGATTTTGTGGTCCACAGGGTTTAGCCACTTAGGGGCCTGTGTGCGCGTGTATACATATGTATACGCACACGCGCACACCCACACACACATATATATATATATATATATATAGATATATACATATATATATATATATATTTTTTATATATATATATATATATGCTTGTGTGTGTGCGCGTGTGCACATGTTTTCACGTGTAGTTTATATGTACAGTTGCCCCTTCATTTGTATGTACACCTACATTTGCATAAGCAATTTCATCAAGTTGAGCTTCGCTTGTCTATGTCGTGCAAAGGTTGTGTTTGCTCGATCAGGCCATCGACACGGTCTACACGAACTTGAAAGATCTGGAGGGCTTGAGGTGCGTTACCTTGGTTGGTTCGGGGTGTACCATGATAGTTGCACTACCGGCACTACTGTACCGCGATTTCATGGTGCCTGCATGAGGAACAGAAAGTGTTGGTACGGCGTCTTGGCAAAAGCCCAAACCTTCTCACTGCGCAGGGCGGAAAGCGAAACCTCGGCTGACACCGGCTTCGATGGCAAGCTCACGATCCATCCGGTGCACTGGTTTGGAAACAGCGAAGAGTTTTCCCACGCCGCAGACAGAAGTCGTATGCCTGCCTTGTTCACACACTGCCTTTCAGCTCGTGTTCTGCACAGGACCAGATCGACGTGGTGAATGCTGCCTTTTCGCCCAGCAGCCAAGAGGTGCGTTAGCCCGATAGGGTGTCGAGGGGTCCCGGTCAAGCAGAAGCAGAAAGCCTTGCATCTTCAACTAGTTTGCGAGGGCACCTTTGTTATTCAAGATCCTTAATATAGTAGAAATTTATTCGATAATTTATGGTAACCCAGCAATATCCCTAGAGTAACCCTGTAGTAGCCCCGGAGTATCCCCAGAGTAATCCTTGCAATGTTCTTTATCGCCCTTTTCTAACCCCTTCCCCACCCCTTACAGCCTTTTTGCACCCCTCCGAATGTAGCCGACAAGAACCCCTTGTAGTACCCTGCCTAACCACCCTCAAGAGCATCCCTGGTAGCACAACGTCGGATGACTCTTGACTGTGGATAGCTTTACAGTACCCCTGATACCCTTTCAAAAACCCTTAAAGCCATATTATGCCCCGTATACCTCTTCAACCAGTCGTACAGCCGCATATGACCGCGCAGTACCCCTTGTAGTACCCCTATAACCTTATGGTACTCTTTCTAATCACCCTTATAAAGTAACCCTTATAGATCGCCTTAGCTATTGCAAAGTAACCGTTATAGAAGCCATAACTCTTTTAAAGCAACCCTCATATATTTAGCCAGGTAGCCGAGGCCACCGAGCTCTTGGAGGCGGCAAAGAGCCAGCCCGGAGCCTTCCGCGGCGCGGCCAAAACCTGATTCAGATTCAGATTCAGAGTACGTTGACCCTGGACGGATCTTCAATCTTGCTTCATGGGTGCCTCCGCCCCACGGGCCAGCGGGCCCACATGTAAGCAACTTAAATGCAGGTGAATGCAGATTAATGCAGCCAAGGACAGCGCTAATATTTCTTTCAAAGCATCCTGCTCTGTGCTTCCCTCAATCTAACCACAATGTCTGCAAGGAGGCTGATTTTTGC